AAAAATTGGTGTCAGCAGGAAGATGAGTCGATTTAGGTTTTTTTCAAATTATTGACATATATATATATATATATATATATATATATATATATATATATATATATATATGTGTATTAGGGGAGTAGTTTAATAAAAGTAAAACTAATCGCATAACGTTGATAGTCAGTCAGTTATGTGCCATGCGTGATACACGCTTTGGCAATCATGTATCTTTCGATGCATGAATGAAGAGACAGATTTTTTCCCGCAGTATGTTGCCATTCCTTTCTGCGGTAGACCAGTTGCCGCCCAAGGATATAGAACCCGGCCTGTCCTGTAATTTACCCATAGCTGGGGGAGAAGAAGAGGATTCATACCTTTCCCAACGTAAGTGAATGTAATCGATTCGATTTGAATTCGATTCCTTAATCCGAGCACCGCTATCTATTACTCCACCGTTGTCTCTAATAAAACTTGTATAAAAGATGAATTGCTGCCCAAATACACAATTATTAAATTGCGTGACCTGGCAGCCAACAAAGTAAGTAAAATTCTTCGCAGTAACTTGTCAATCGTATTTTATGAATCTTATATATATATATATATATATATTGTGTGTATTTAGGCAGCATATTTTCATTTATACACGTTTCATTAAATAATATAGACAAGTGTTGTCTATTTATTTTATGTAAAATTTTTCGTATCTTCTGATAAGTTTGATAACATTATCATTAACCGAAAAAAAAACAGCACAATATTTATCCATTATTTTTTAATGAAATCTAAGCTTTCAATTGTTAAAGACAAATAAAAGATGTAAACAAACAAATCAAACAATATACGGACACAAATATTCTGTCATTGTTTTGTTTTATAATTGGAACTAGAAGCCATTGGTTTATACCAACGGCTTTCCTTATTTCATTCGTCACAATTGACTCGTGTAGTCATGTGTGACGTCATGAGATGCGGTGCGATTTTCGCTTCTAGCGTCTTATATGGCGTGTTCATCGTTGCTTAGTGATCCACTATGTAAACAAAACAATGAAAGACTATCATCACTGTCGTGTCCGTATATTGTTTGATATGTTTGTAATTACATCTTTGATAATGGCTTGAGTAAGCCGAAAGCTTAGATTTTATTAAAAATAATGGATAAATATTGTGAATTTTTTTTTTCGGTTAATGATAATGTTATCAAACTTATCAGAAGATACGAAAAATTTTTATATAAAATAAATAGACAAATACATGTCTATATTATTTAATGAAACGTGTAATATATATATATATATATATATATATATATATATATGTGTGTGTGTGTGTGTAAGCAAATGTAAATGGATATAGATCCGACAGAATGAAGAAAAATTTGGAAAAAACAAACAAAAATCCTTAAATGCAATTATGTTGTTTAAAATGAATGAAATGTCGACGTCTGACGTTTCGGTTTAATAAACCTTTTTCAAGACAATATTCATTAAAATACAATTCAGTTCAATTTGACAAAGACGATGGACATAAAAAACAAGTCTTATCCAAATATTTTCAAAATAAAAATCTCAGGAGGATTTATGAAGCAGGCATAATATCCATCTCACGCACGGTGAATACTAGACCTGGTTTCTTTAATATTTCCCCTTTTTTAGCGAGATTAATGCTCGACAAGCATACACATAAAAATTTTAGATCCTAATAGAATTCTTTTCATTTTCTTTTTCATTCAAAATAATCAAAAATTTTTAGGAATACGTTTTGAAAGCGTCGCCCATGTGACGACAACGTGACCATGCTAAACGGAAAGCTGATCATTTTAAAAATTTTCAGTTATCTGTTTTGGATAAGACTTGTTTTTTAATGAATATTGTCGAGAAAAAGGTTTATTAAACCGAAACGTCAGACGTCGACATTTCATTCATTTTAAACAACATAATTGCATTTAAGGATTTTTGTTTGTTTTTTCCAAATTTTTCTTTCATATATATATATATATATATATATATATATATATGTAGATAAATTTATATATATATATATAGGGGTGTGCACTTTAAAAAATTATAACTTTATTTGTATTTGCGAGAGAAATAATCTGTAAAAAATGTTATAAAGTTTAATATACCTAGTTTTAAGTATAGCTAAAATAACTAATGTGATTTCAGGCATTACTGTAAATCAGTTGGCAAATGTTTTCCGTGAACTGCAAAATTGTATTACCCTTTGTATTACTAATGATGGAGGACATGTGGAAACTTAAATAAAATTTCAATAAAACCTTAAAAAATGTAGATTTACTTCTTTCTCATCCTTTTTACAAATTATTTCTATCGCAAATGCAAATAAAGTTATACATTTTAAAGTGCACACGAAGTTTATGGTTTATATATATATATATATATATATATATATATATATATATATATATATATATATATATTATTATTTTAGGATTATTGTTATTATACAACGATTGTTGGAGAAAATCATTTGTGCTCGGAAATTCTGGGTTTCTCTTGGCTTAATTCTATTATTATTATTATTATTATTATTATTATTTCTATGGCTTTTGAGTGTATCAGGGATATTTGCTGTATTGGAATGAAAGATTTAGGTTACATCGTCTGCATGCATCTAGGTTCTACTTTATAAACATTTTTTTCGTAAAGATGTTTTTCATTTAATATTTCTTACGATTGTTTTTACTGATTGCTGAATGTTATCTGTTTATTTCTCAACATTATTTCTTCAAGGACATTCGGCCATTTTTGCTATCTTGCATCGACCAAATTTACTTTACGTCGGGGTTAATTCGTCCGAATAGAAATTTCAAATACATCGGTTTTAACAGATCTATTCCAAGAGCAATTCGAACGACAAGAAATGATGTACTCTGATGTTCTCTTCATGTCGTAAAAAAAAGGAACGCTTTTAAACGTGTTTATCTTTCAAAGCCGACCTTGCAGATATAAATATTCTATTTATGATTATAAATCCAGTATCTCTCCTTTTGACATCGGCGATGTTTAACTGATTTCCGGGGCTGGCAATGTTGCTCTGAAACATTTCGTTTGCATTTCCTCTTCATGTTATAATTCCCCTTTTTTCTTCGTTTCTTAGTTATTTAGCACGCTTGTTACTTCGTTTCCAGTATAGAAAAGACATACAGAGACGCTGTTGGTTGCAGGAGGTAAAAGAAAGACAGTAAGAAAATAAGTATATGGGGGCGATAAGTCTCTGATCATTTTAACTTTTACTTCATTGAAATAGAAAAAATAAACTTGTTTATTTTAAATGTCTTCATTTGTATCGCCTTCCTTCTTTTTAAATGCCTTCATTTGTATCCTTTCCCTTCTTTTTAAATGTCTTCATTTGTATGTCTTCATTTGTATCCTCTTCCTTCTTTTTAAATGTCTTCATTTGTACCCTCTTCCTTCTTTAAATAATGAACAGGGTTCATAATTATACCGCTTATTGAAATATTTTGTTAATGTTAAGCAGAAACAGTTAACGATGCAATCAAGGAATTTATTCAGGTATTATATAGTCGTAGAACTCCCAAGGTGTTTATTTAGTCATTAACTAAAGAATTATGATTCATAAGAAACTTCGTATAGCGAAGCTCTTAAATATTCAGCGGGGGGGAATTTATTTTCAATCCTTTTATACCACGCAAAGGTGATAAGGACTCTAAAACACAGGAAGTTAACAAGAAAGAGAATGAAAAGACTTAGGCACTGGAGAATCGGGGAAGGGAAGAAAAGAAACAGGGTTTAAGTAAACGGAAGAGAGCGACTGACGTTGCATTTAATATTATAAGATTGTTGTTAGCGCGTAAGCAAGAAATCAGAAAAGACTTACACAACTGGGGAATGCGACTGTTAAACTATTAAAGTAGAATTTATGTCATTGTCGTAGGACATGTAATGGGACTGCCGTTTGAAACAATACTTGAGATGATGCAACAAGATAAGACGTCTGTCTATATCACTGAGATAAGGTATTACGATTACTTGCATTATTTATATTATTTGGGCTGTTATCCTCAACTTCATAGCCATATTCAAAACGATTCGGCTGTTGTACTCTCCGGCCTTCAATATGTGTCTATATCTTTGGGATGAGGTATTATGATTACTTGCATTATTTATATTATTTGGGCTGTTATCCTCATCTTCATAGCCAGATTCAGAACGATTCGGCTGTTGTACTCTCCGGCCTTCAATATCTGTCTATATCTTTGGGATGAGGTATTATGATGACTTACATTATTTACATTATTCGGACTGTTATCCTCATCTTCATTGCCATATTCAAAACGATTCGGCTGTTGTACTCTCCGGCCTTCAATATCTGTCTATATCTCTGGGATGAGGTATTATGATTACTTACATTATTTACATTATTCGGACTGTTATCCTCATCTTCATTGCCATATTCAAAACGATTCGGCTGTTGTACTCTCCGGCCTTCAATATCTGTCTATATCTCTGGGATGAGGTATTATGATTACTTACATTATTTACATTATTCGGACTGTTATCCTCATCTTCATTGCCATATTCACAACTTTTTGACCGTTATACCCTCCAGCCTTCTTCAGGTGTTTAAAATTTCGAATCGTACCATTTATTTTGTTCACCGGTGTAGATTGTTCTAGTTCCTCAAGTACACATTGCCCAGGGAATAAAAACGTTGCTTAAATCCAGTGACTAGACCAAAGTGGTGAACCAAAACCTGGAGAGTTGAGTTGAAGGGCAAAATAACTGAGACATCCGGAAGAGGCACGGCACGTGGAATTAGAACAATCTAACTTAGAAAAGAGGTTGCCCACATATGTAATGGCTGAGGACAATTAAATATAAATATTCTCCTGACCATTAGAAATATTCTCTTCAACTGTAGAGGAAAGATGCAGTTATTTTAATTTAAGGGTACCCCCCAAAAAAAAAAAAAAAACATAGAGGCACTCTTCACTTAACGACGTACCTGTTTAACAAACCCAGCCTTAAGATCATTACGTTCATATCACGTTGGAGCACCGGTTCCCGTACGATCACCGAAGTTAAGCAACATCGAGCCTGATTACTACTTTGATGGGTGACCGCTTGGGAATATAAAGTGCTGTAAGCTTAGATATGCGGGTGGTATACAGTGCTTACGGCCATATCGCGTTGAAACATCGGTTCCCATCCGAACACCGAAGTTAAGCAACGTCGTGTTTGGTCATTACCTAGATAGGTGACCGCTTGAAAATACCAGGTGCTGTAATTTTGGACGTGCGGTTTGGATAAAATGCTTACCCTCATATCACGTTGAAACACCGATTCTCTTACCATTAGCGAAGTCAAGCAACGTCGAGCTTTGTCAGTACCAAAATTGGTATTGTAAGCGTGGATGTACACTTGGTTTAATGGGAAGGTTATGAATCCACATGTTCTCCCTTAGCTATGGGTTAACAAGTATAACTTGCATTAGTACATCAATATTATCCCCCTCTCCAAATTCTTAGAATCGAAAGATATTTTCTGGCTTTAAAGAACATGCAAAGGTTGATAATCCGTAAAAACTATTTCATCAATCAAAACCCCAGACTTAATACGAACTATAAAATAAATAATTTAGAAAAAATCCAATCAGTCGAGTGTGTACGTTGTACGAAACTTCAAAATGAATGAAAAGAAATAAAAGGGAATAAAGTGAAAAATAGATAAAATTTTAATTATTCTGTATTTGCAAGACAAAAAAGCAATACAGTAGAATCCCTCATATCCGGAATCTCTCATATACGGAGTGCCTCATATCCGGAATTCCGCATATCCGGACATGATTTTGATGTGCATATTTGGATTACTTGATATGTAACTAATTTGAAATTTCTATTTTTCAGGAAATTTACTTTGGATAATTGCTTATGCTTATTTCACCCTAATGGCTTGCATTAGGGCAAAGGATGATGGAAATAAGAGGAAAAGAACAATTTTGGAATTATCGCAAAAAGTGGATATTTTAAACAGACTCTCGTGAAACTTCATTGTAACTAATGGCTGAGTTCAACATAGGAAAACCAACATTGTATGATATAAAATCTTCCAAAGAAACTATTCTCCAGCGTTCACATTGTCGCAATGAACAAGGAAAAAAAACATGATTGCGATGAAACCTGGACTGAAACTGAAAAAGCTATTAAAGTGTGTCAGTTTTATGGAAAGAAAGCCAGCATTCAGCTATAACGAAATAGTATCTTTCGTTTTAAAAATTTCAAGAACAAAAGCAAAACGTAACGCAGAAAAATTTAAGAATGACATTAGAAGAGAAAGAATCATCAGGCAACAGCGATTAAAAAATCCTCGTTACATTATTTGTTTTGCATACGTGGCAGACTTAATTTAATGAATTTTCATTAACATTACATAATTTATTTCTTTTTTCTTAAAATCAATTCCATTATATTCCACTAACTATCAGCTTATTTTGTTTACTATAAAACATTGAAAATAAATATTAAACCCGATTTCAGGTTGTCAGGGACTCTACTTTTGATAGAATATACAGCTGATTTCCGAAATTACTCGTTATGCTTACTGTTAAGTAGTCTACTGAATACAGTAGTATACTGAACACTAAGCATAAACATTTCGAAATACATTAGAAATGTTACAGATTATGTAAGAATGATATTTAAGCAAGCTAACACAAACTCATAACACGCAAACCTATCTTCTTTTATATGCCATGACCTTTTGGGACATTGGCGAGTAGAGCTCTCCACGATTTCTTGCCCTTTGTAGCTCCTAGTAGATTTTCTCTTTTTGATATCTCTCCTAATCCTTGTTCTTTGATACCTTTACACAACATCATTAAGTAGTGTATTCCCTACTTTCCACTGTCCCTCTTGACTTTATTATGTGCTGTGAGTGTTAACTTTTCCAAGCCCTCTTTCCTCATTTTTCTGGAAATTTCAACAGTCTCTTTTCCGATGTTAAGTATGTGTCATTTTTGTTTCCATTTTCCCTAAAACGTAGTCGTTGCTCACATGTTCAATTTATAGTATTCTCAGTATCCTTCTGTAGAACCACATTTCTGTTGCCGCAAGTCTCTTCTTTACCTGCAAGGAGATAGTCTAGCATTCCCTGGCATATAGGAGGCGTGATATTACATAACAGTTCAGTACTTTTTTTTTGTTTGTTTCCAGCGAGATTTTCCTGTTTCTTAATACTTTGTTTAGATTTTGGAAAGCATTTTTCTCTATCCCAATGCGCTTTCGGATTTCGGTGTGGCACTTTAAAACCCTTCCCCTGTTAAAACACTTCCTAGATATTTAATTTGTAAGATTTGTTTGGTTTTGGCATCTCCAATTTGTAATTCGCATATTTGTCTGCCCGTTTTGCTAACAGCCATAAATTCGGTCTTCTTGTAAGCGACACTGAGTCCTTTATTCTTGCTTTCCTTCACTACCATCTGTAGGAGTTCCCGTAGTTTTCTTTCCGTGTTTTTTATTAGCATATGCATATCTTATATTGGTAAGATTCAGTAATGAATCCTGTTAGAACTTCTAATTAACTCATGCGCATCTCACTATCGAGGAGGCACGGTGGAGTAATGGATAGCGGCTTGGATTGAGGAATCGGAGAGCTGAGTTCGAAGTTACGTACTAATACCCTTTGGAAAGGTGTGAATCCTCTTCTTCTCCCTCCAGCTATGGGTAAATAGCAGGACAGCCTTGGATGGCAATTGGTCTACGAGAAGGAAAACTCTGAATTTAAAACCTGCGGAGGGTGAATGGAGTCTCTCTGAGCCTTGGTTGGCAATCCATTTAGTGATGGTGTCACGATAAAAACACCCTTGATAGCCCTAGCGAAGCATCAAGAATTCAGCTATTTGACAAGATTACGAACTACACCAATCAAAGTATTAGCTATGACAGATAAGGAATACTGGAAAGGTGTAGTGAGTTCAATCTCGGCTGAGGCCGCAAGATGATGATAAAGGTACGCCGAAATTGCCTAACAGTTCTAACTGCTCACGTTTAGCGACCAGTTCACTGGAATAGAACCTGCTCATTAACTGTAATAAATTACTGTATTCGAAAAAATATGATTTACATCATTTTGTACGCTCTATCATCGTTTATGCAAAATCATTGCTTTAATTATTGACAGTAGGTAATTATTGGCAGTAGGTAATTATTGGCAGTAGGTAATTATTGTCCTGGTACAATTTAAGAACATATTTAGAATCACGTTCCTGTCCAGAAATAATTAATTTCTTGTCAGTGTTTGTCGAGTAGATCTGCTAGTATATAATGAAAATCGTAAAATCATATATTTCCCAATAGTGTAGGTCAATTTGAACGTTGTCGTTTGATATGATAAATAATGGCACAAAATATTTTCCCCCTAATCCTTATTGTATTTCGAGTCAATGAGATTAAAGATTAAGATTAGGTTCAAAATTGGAGCGTTGGAATTTCTATCAGGTGATCAATGAAAGACTTCTATTACAGCCTTATGAAACTGATCATTGAAATTTATATATAGTTGGTTTGAAATTAAAAGGGATAATACATCCCATAACCAAAAACCGTATATCTTCAATACGATCCAGAAAATAAGGCGACAGCCGACCGAAATACAAAATATTGAAGTAAAACATTTACGACACAGTGCTTTCGCGTTGCTCCCAGAAAATATTATTTACTCAATGTTGAAGTCAGATGAACTGGAGATGAAGAGGTTATTAATAAATTGCCCATTACATACACCCTTGTGCAAATTAACTGAAATAACCGCTTTAGTTTCTGTTCTTTCACCATATCAGTTTTATCTCCCCCAGTCACTACTGTCTCGACTGTTTATAAGTTGTCCTAAGGGCATTTTCTGCGATGGAAGTTACTTCAAAAAAGCGTACGAAAATTGTAACGCTGCAAGCCTTAACAGTGAGCAAATCAAAATACTATCGACTGGCTGGGAAACTCTCCTTATTTAAAACCAGTCGAGAATCTGTGGTCAATCTGCAAGGAACGACATCGTGGAATGGACATACAAAGTACTAACATTTGCACTGGGTCATGTTTCATTAGAAAAATACGAAAAAAAAGTAAATAATAACGTAATTATTTGTTTTGTTTTGTATTAATTTGCTCAATGGTGTTTAGTAAACATTTATTTATACTAAGTTATGTCAGTTTAGAAGACTAATTTTAAAATTATATTCAAGTTACATCACACAAATATTAACAAGTATCGGTAAATTTTTCAATAATTTTTTTTTCAGAAGTAGAGAGACACTAGAGAAAAGATTCAAAATAATTGCATTCATCAACTCCGAAGCAACACACTGGTCAAATTTGATTAACTTCTCACAAAATGGAGTTTGGGAACCTGCGTTTGCAGAAGGTTTTTCAAATAATGAACTGCAAGAGATTCTAATGAATGGAACAACGCTGGAGTTGCCAAATTTACCAGCACATTCACAAAGTGTGGAAAGAGCATTTAAATTAATTACTAAAGCTTCACAAATTGTAAATGAACAAGAAGCAAGACACACGCACATTATTACTAAATCGCTGCGCCATCAAATAAGACCTTCATTTACTTCAAAGGCAAATTATACTGAACAATTTAGCTATATTATGATTTAATATGTTATAAATTGCAGTTGTTTTAGTGTAATTGTCAATAGGCAATGTAAATTTAGAACGTTTTGTTTTTAAATTTATTATGATGTTATATACACCTTTATATATTTTTGTTTTTTATTAATCATGACCAAGCAAATGGTGTAAAGCTTATACTTTGATTAGCCTTTTTTGTAATCATTTACAGTTTTCAATTATCGAATACAGTAAAAAAAATATCATAATTGTAGCGATAAATAATAAGAATTATGGTTTAAACATATTTTCTATTCAATGTAACCGATGCAAAAATTGTAAACTTTATTTAGATTTATTCTTGTAATAAGTAAAATTTTGAAGCCAGTTTGTAAGCTAAATCTTGTGCAAATTAATTGAGACAAACGCTTTAGTTTCCTTTCTTTCTATTGTGGCCTGTTTAGGGGCCAGAAAGAAAGACACGAAAGACGAAGGTAGGCTGAAAAAGTATATGGACGATATATACAAAACAATAGTGTTAGTAATATGTAGATTAGCACTGCGTCTACTAATTTTCTCCACTCCGTCCGACTCTCGCAGTTTGTACTTATGAGAGGAGGAAGAGTTTATTATACTGTAAGAGGGTTTTCCACAACACTTTCACTATAAGGTCAGT